GTCCGGGGGGACCAGGATCCAGCCCTGAGGGTCAGGAACAGGGGCCAGGAGGACCAGGATCCAGCCCTGAGGGTCAGGAGCAGGATCCAGAGGGAGCAGGATACATCCCTGAGGATCAGGATCCATCCCTGGGGTCAGGGTTAGGATCCAAGGGAAGCAGGATCCATCCCGGGGGTTTGGAGCAGGACCGAGGGGGACCAGGATCCAGACTTTGGGGTCAGGAGCCAGCCCTATGGCTCAGGAGCAGGATCTAGGGAGCTTCAGGATCCAGCCCTGAGGGTCAGGATCCATCCCTGGGGCCAGGGTTAGGATCCAAGGGAAGCAGGATCCATCCCGGGGGTTTGGAGCAGGACCGAGGGGGACCAGGATCCAGCCTTTGGGGGCAGGATCCATCCCTAGGGGACTGGAGCAAGGTCCAGGGGGACCAGGATCCAGCCCTGAGGGTCAGGAACAGGGTCCAGGAGGACCAGGATCCAGCCCTGAGGGTCAGGAGCAGGATCCAGAGGGAGCAGGATCCATCCCTGAGGATCAGGATCCATCCCTGGGGTCAGGGTTAGGATCCAAGGGAAGCAGGATCCATCCCGGGGGTCTGGAGCAGGACCAAGGGGGACCAGGATCCAGCCTTTGGGGGCAGGATCCAGCCCTGGGGTCAGGATCTGGATCATGGGGGGGTCGGGATCCATCCCTGAGGATCAGAAGCAGGATCCTGGGGGACAAGGATCCAGCCTTTGGGATCAGGATCCAGCCCTGAGATCAGGATCAGGATCTTTGCATAGGGACAGGCTGGACCACTTTTCTGAAGGATGCTCTTCCCTTCTGCATCCCCATCGCAGTGGTGGCTCTAAGGGACCAGAGAAGGTCCTGGTGGGCTCCATGTCACCTCTTGTCCCCCTCCTTGTCCCCACAGGGTGCTGGGTCACTTTGAGAAGCCCTTGTTCCTGGAGCTCTGCAAGCACATGGTATTCCAGCAGTGCCATCAAGGGGAATACGTTTTCCGGCCAGGACAACCGGACTCCAGCATCTACGTGCTGCAGGATGGGAAACTGGAGCTGATCCTCACCGAACCCGTGCGTGGTGGGGACATCCTGGAGGTGGCACAGGGGGGGATGGACTGGGATAGCCAGGGGACATGGAGGTGGCACAGGAAGGGATGGGGACACCCAGGGGAGAGGGAGGTGGCGGATGGATGGATGGATGGATGATGGATGGATGATGGATGGATGGATGGATGGGGACACCCAGGGGAGAAGGAGGTGGCAGAGGGATGGGTGGATGGGCAGACGGGTGGATGGATGATGGATGGATGGATGGATGGATGGATGGGGACACCCAGGCGAGAAGGAGGTGGCAGAGGGATGGGTGGATGGGCAGACGGATGGATAGATGGATAGATGGATGGATGGATGGATGGGGACACCCAGGGGAGAAGGAGGTGGCAGAGGGATGGATGGATGGACAGACGGATGGATGGATGATGGATGGATGGATGGATGGGGACACCTAGAGGACACCCAGGAGGTGTCTGAGGGATGGATGGAGACACCCAAAGGGCACCCAGGAGGTGGCAGAGAGAGGGATGGGGACACCCAGGGGAGAGGGAGGTGGCAGAGTGATGGATGGATGGATGGATGGGTGGATGATGGATGGGTGGATGGATGAATGGATGGATGATGGATGATGGATGGATGGATGGATGGATGATGGATGGATGGACGCATGGGGACACCCAGGACATGGAGATGGGAAGAGCAAAGGGGGTTTGTGCCGTGCAGGATGGGAAGGAGACAGTGATGAAGGAGGTGTTCCCTGGGGACAGCGTGCACAGTCTGCTCAGCATCCTCGATGTCCTCACGGTACCAGTGCCAGCGTTGGCCCCGAGTCCCCTAAACCTGGCTGTGGCCATCCCCAAGTCCTCTAACCCTGGTCATAACCATCTTCAAGTCCCCTAAACTTGATTGTGGCCATCCCCAACCCCCCTAAGCTTGATCATGGTTGTCCCCAAACCCCCTAAACCTGGTCATGACCATCCCCAAACCCCCTAAGCTTGATGGGGGATGTCCCCAACCTGACCACAGATGTCTCCAAACCTTCCCAGCCCAACCATGGCCATCCCCAAGCCCAACCATTGCCATCTCCAAACTCCTGCAGCCCAACCATGGCCATCTGGAAGCCCAACCACGCCCATCCCCAAGCCCCACCAGCCAAAAGCCTGGTGCTACCAGTGAGCTTTGCCAGTCCCCAACTGCCACCACCCCTCATCCATTGCCGAGATGGACCATCCATGCTTGAGATGGACCTCAGTGTGTCACCTAGGGCCACCAGCGTCCGTACAAGACAGTGAGTGCCCGGGCAGCAGCAAACTCCACCATCCTCCGGTTGCCAGTTGAAGCTTTCTCAACCATCTTTGAGAACTACCCCGAGAGCTTGGTACGGGTGGTGCAGGTGAGTCTGGCTTGGTGGGACCACCGTGGGGGGGTCCCTTGGGGTGCCAGGAGACCACTGATGGCTTCTTCCCCCCACTTTAGATCATCATGGTGCGCCTGCAGCGAGTCACCTTCTTGGCTTTGCACAACTACCTTGGCTTGACCAATGAGCTCTTCAGCCACGTGAGTTCCTCCTCAGCATAGGATGGAGCTGGAGAACCCCAACCCTCCTGATGCTCCCTGTTGTAGGACATGCAACCACCAAAGCTCTTCCCACAGCCCAGCCACACTGCCCGCACCAGCCCCGTCCGCCACGGCAAGCGCGGCCTTGGCCACATGGATGAGGGCCGGGAGCCAGGTAGGAGCTGGGAATGGAGCCCTGGAACCTCTTCCCCTGGTGAGACCACCACGATGAGGGGCTCTGCTGCCCATACTTAAGGTGGTCTCTCATCCAGCAGCTGAGCCACTGAAAGCTGGAGGCCTGGAGCCCCCCACGCCAACCATGAGCCGCTGCATCTCCATGCCTGTGGACATTGCTGGTGGGTCTGAGGCTGGAGGGAGGAACCAGGGGGTCCTGAGGTCATGTAGGGCCACCAGGGTTGTGGATCTCCTCCAAGCTCATGTGGCCACCACCCCAGAGCATCCTCCTACCCCTTTCTCCTGCATCTCCCATCCTTGTGTACCCTCATCCTGCATCTCCCATCCTTGTGCACCCCCATCCTGCATTCCCCACCCAACACCCTTGTCTTGAACACTGGTGACCCCACCTTCACCCATTGCAGGTATCCAGAAGGGTCCTCGCTCTGACTTCGACCTGGCCTACGAGCGCGGGCGCATCTCGGTGTCGCTGCAGGAGGACAGGACCAGCACCTTCCCCACCTTCTCCCGGGTAAAGAGGGTTGGGATCATGGAGGAGAATCCAGTTGGAAGCCCATAGTCGGTGTTCTCCAGGGCTTGATACTTCAGGGTCTTCTTCACCTTGTTTCTTAGTGACATGGATGAAGGGGTGGAGATACGGAGCTGGGATGGAGATACAGAGCTGGGGATGGAGATGTGGAGCTGGGGTGGAGATACGGAGCTGGGATGGACACATGGAGCTGGGGATGGACATATGGAGCTGGGATGGAGATATGGAGCTGGGATGGAGATACGGAGCTGGGGATGGAGATATGGAGCTGGGATGGAGATATGGAGCTGGGATGGAGATACGGAGCTGGGATGGAGATACGGGGCTGGGATGGAGATACGGGGCTGGGGATGGAGATACGGAGCTGGGGATGGAAATACGGGGCTGGGGATGGAGATAGGGAGCTGGGGATGGACACATGGAGCTGAGAATGGAGGTACGGAGCTGGGATGGAGATACAGAGCTGGGATGGAGATAGGGAGCTGGGGGAGCAGCTGATCCATCCCTCTGGTCAGGATCAGGATCCAAGGGGATCTGGAGCCATTCCAAACCCACCATGGCCACAGTCCTGTGTGACCTGCTGTAGGTGGCCCTGCCTTAGCTCTCCAGATGATCTCCAGAGATCGCTTCCAATCCTAATGATTGCATCCACCCAAATCCCTCACCAGCACCACCAGGGTGACCATTGATGGTGATGGAGCTGTCCCATCTCCCCATAGTCCATCTCCCATGAGCCTAAGGAGCGCAAGACAGTGACGCTGGAGGAGCAACCATCTGGTATTTACCGCTACAGCTATGGCAGGGATGAGTCCACACCTATGAACCCTCCCGTTGGACCATACCAGGGCAGCCAGAGCAGCACCATCTTGGAGACTGCCAAGCAAGAGCTGGGCAAGCTCATGAAGTTGGAGGTGAGAGCAGAAACAGTGCCTCTGGGGCTTTGTGGTGGTCCCCTGGGGCTTCTTGGTGGGCTTCATCGCTTCATGTTGGTCCCCTATTGCTTTGTAGTGGTTCATGTTGCTTCATGGTGGGTTCTTGTGGCCTTCTGGTGGGTCCTCATCATTTTGTCGTGGCTCCCAATCACCTCATGGTGGATCCTCATCACTTCATGGTGATCCCTGTGGCCTCGGGGTGGTCCCCCATCTCTTTGGGATGCTCCTCCATCATTTTGTGGTTGTCCCCATTGCCTTGGAGCAGCCCCCTGTCTCCTCGTTGTGGTTCCCATCTCCTCACGGTGGTCCCCATCTCCTGGTGGTGGTCCCCCATCATTTTGTGGTGGGTTCCCATCTCCTCATGGTGGTCTCCATGGTGCTCCCTATCTCCTCATGGTGGTCCCCATCACTTCATGTGATGCCGTTCTTCCCTCTAGGACCCTTCTCTCCTTGACAACCGTGTCCAGCTCTATCGCGCCAAGGCCGGGGCAGTCATTGCCTGTGAAGGGGAACAGGTTGGTTTGGGTTTTGGGGAGCTGCTCCCCTCACCCTCCATCTCCACTGGGTGCTCCTCGTCCTACTCCTGCCCTATGGGTGACGGGGGGCAGGAACGATCCCCAAAGCCATCTGGAGGGTGCAAAACACCTTGTGAAGAGAACCAGAAGAACCCCCCACGTGATGCTGAGGATCTCAGGTGGCCTCCAATGGTCATGAGGTGACATCTTGGCAGGATGCGAGCCTCTACTTTGTCATCTGTGGCTGCCTGCATGTGTACCAGCAGATGATTGACAAGGCTGAACACGTCTTCCTCTTCTTGACCCAACCTGGAGAGATGGTGGGACAACTGGGCGTGCTCACCGGTGAGCCCCTCATCTACACCATCAAGGCCAACCGTGACTGCACCTTCCTCAAGATGTCCAAGATGGACTTCTACGAGTGAGTGGAGGAGCTCTGGGGGCAAAGGGTTGATTCCAAAGGGGATTCTCAAGGTGAACCTTGTGGTGGCATCTCTTGGGGGTCCCCCCACCTGCTCTTGATCTATAGCATCATGCGGGAGCAGCCCAGCGTGGTGCTGACTGTCGCCCACATCGTGGTGGCTCGTATGTCCCCTTTCGTGCGCCAGATGGACTTTGCCATCGACTGGATGGCGGTGGAGGCCGGGCGGGCACTCTACAGGTGGGTCCCAAGGGATGGGCACCCACCTCGCCTTGGGGAGCACCACGTTGGTAGGGGGCTGAGGTGCTGAGCTCCACACGCTGCTTGTGTCCCCCAGGCAGGGGGACAAGTCGGACTGCACCTACATCGTGCTCAATGGGCGCCTCCGCTCCGTCATCCAGAAGGGCAGCGGCAAGAAGGAGCTCGTCGGGGAGTACGGCCGGGCAGACCTCATCGGGGTGGTGAGAGCCATGGCAGGGCCATGGGGTGGACACCACGTACGTCTGGATGGTGCATCATGGCCACGTGTCTTCTACTGCAGGTGGAAGCCCTCACCCGGCAGCCTCGTGCCACCACGGTCCATGCGGTGCGGGACTCGGAGCTGGCCAAGCTGCCTGAGGGCACCTTGAACAACATCAAGCGCAGATACCCCCAGGTACCTCCAGATCCTCCATCCTGGGGTCTTCACCCTCTTCCTATGGAAGGAGAATGTCCCTGTGTCCCTTCCAGCCAGTGGCTTGTTAGAACCAGCAGTTGGTAGAGCTGTCTGTAGAGGACCTCAATGGGTGTCCCTCTGTGAGGGATGGGTGGTGGTGGTGGTGGTGGTGGCACCCTAAAAGGCACATGGGACACTAGCTTGGGGTCTAGCTGAGGAAGCCCTGCCAGGTCCAATGATGCCATGGGCCCCATCCTGGTTCCTGCAGGTTGTCACCCGCCTCATCCACCTTCTGAGCCAGAAGATCTTGGGAAGCCTTCAGCAGCTCCGCGGGCCCTTTGCAAGTAGGTCCCAGAAGAATTTGGGACAACAAGGTGCCTTCTCCAGGCTGGTGGCCATCACCAGAGCAGCACATGGAAGGTGTCCACCTCCCTCTTGTCCTGTCCATGCAGGCTCTGGCTTGGGCATGGCCTCCAGCTCGGAGCCCATTAACCCCACCAGCAACCTCTCGACGGTGGCGGTGCTGCCGGTGTGTGACAGTGTCCCTGCTGTGGCCTTCTCACTGGAGCTCAAGCATGCTCTCGACGCCATTGGTGAGTGCCAGTGCAGTGGTGACCATGGCATGGTGGTGGCCACAATGTGTGGAGGTGACCATCCTCCTGTGGAACGTCAGTGACCTGGTCTGGTGGTGATCACAGCCCCATGGCACAGTGGTGGCCATGGCATGGAGGTAGTCATGGTCTTGTGGCATGGTGGGCACCATGGCATGGTGACCATCACAGCTTCCTGGCATGACAGCACAGTGTGGTCATGACCACAACCTCATGGCACGATGGTGACCACAGCATGGTGGTGACCACAACCCCATGGCACGAGGATGACCACAGCATAGTGGTGACCACAACCCTACGGCACAATGATGACCACAACATGGTTGCAACCACAACCCCATGGCACGATGGTGACCACAGCATGGTGGTGACCACAACCCTATGGCACGATGATGACCACAGCATGGTGGTGACCACAACCCTATGGCATGATGGTGACCACAGCATGGTGGTGACCACAACCCCATGACATGATGATGACCACAGCATGGTGGTGACCACAACCCTACGGCACAGTGTTGACCACAACATGGTTGCAACCACAACCCCATGGCATGATGATGACCACAGCATAGTGGTGACCACAACCCCATGGCACAATGATGACCACAGCATGGTGGTGACCACAACCCCATGGCACGAGGATGACCACAGCATAGTGATGACCACAACCCCATGGCACAGTGGTGACCACAGCATGGCGGTGACCTCATCCCACCTCTTCCAGGTCCCACTTTGCTCCTCACCAGCGACGTTCTCCGTATCAACCTTGGCTACTTGGCGCTGGAAAGGTAACTCCCATGGGGAGGACCATCACCAGCGACCCACCAGCGCCGTGCCACCAGCTGACCCCTCCATCTCGGCAGCATCCAGGAGTACCGCCTGTCGGGGTGGTTGGCGCAGCAGGAGGACAGCCACCGCATCGTCCTCTACCTGACTGACTCCACCCTGACCTCCTGGACCGTGCGGTGCATCCGTCAGGCCGACTGCATCCTCATCGTAGGAATGGGTGACCAAGAGCCAATGGTGGGAAAGGTGAGGTTGAGGAGGTAGGAGGTGGTGGGACACCACCGTGGCGGGTGGCTGATGGCTTCTACAGCTGGAGCAGACGCTGGAGAACACAGCAGTGCGGGCACTGAAGCAGTTGGTTCTCCTCCACCGTGAGGGTGGTCCCGGCCCTTCCCGCACCGTTGAGTGGCTCAACATGCGCAGTTGGTGCTCGGGTCACCTCCACATCAGGTGTCCCAAGCACATCTTCACCCGACGGAACCCCGCCAAACTGGTACGTGTGTGTCCCCCCGGGATGACCTTGGTGGTCCCCCTCTCTCATTGTCACCCAGTGGCCATCCCATCCACAGCAGGAGACATATGATAAGTTGTATAAGAAGAAGGCCGACATCCACAGCGACTTCTCCCGCCTGGCGCGTGTCCTCACCGGCAACACCATCGCCCTTGTCCTGGGTGGTGGCGGAGCCAGGTCGGTGCCACACCAAGGATGGGACTTAGTGGGGTGGGGAGGTCCCCATCTCATCCATTCTCCTCTTTATCCAGGGGCTGCTCCCACATTGGGGTGATCAAGGCGATGGAGGAATCGGGGATCCCCATTGACATGGTTGGTGGCACCTCCATCGGCGCCTTCATCGGGGCGCTCTACGCCGAGGAGCGCTGCGCCGACAGCACCATGCAGCGGGCACGGGAGTGGGCCAAGGTGGGTGCCAGGGCATGGACCCACCACAGGGAAGGACCTTCCTGGCGGTGGAAGTGTCTCCTTCCTCCTGTTCGTCTTCCTCTTCTTCGTACATCTCCTTCTTCTTCTTCTTCATCCTCCTTTGCCTTCTCTCCTTATTCTAACTGTCTCTTCCTCCTCTCCTTTTTTCCTCTTCTTTCTTCTTCCTCCTTCTCCCTCACCTTGTTCTTCCTCCTCTTCCTTTTTTTCTCTCATTATTCTTTCTCCTCCTCCTTTTCTTCTTACTCTTCTTTCTTCCTCCTTGTCTTTTCCTTCCTTCCTCCTTCCCTCCTTCTTCTCTTCTCCTTCTTTTCTCCTTCTTCCTCCCTTTCTCCTTCTCTCCTCTTTCTTTCCTCCTTCTTTCCTCCTTCTTCATTCTTCCCTTGTTCTCCTCCTCCTTCTCTCCTCTTTCTTTCTCCTTGTTTCTTCTTCTTTCTCCCCCTTCTTTCTTCTTCCTTCTCACCTCCTCCTCTCCTCCCTCTTTCCTCCTCCTTCTCCTCTCTTCCTCCTTTTCTTCTCCTTCTTTCCTTCTCTCCTCGTCCTTCTGTCTTCTTCCTTCTCTCCACTTCCTCCTTTCTCTTTCTCTTTCCTCCTTCTTTCTCTTTCTTTCTCCTCCTTCTTTCTCTTTCTTTCTCCTCCTTCTTTCTCTTTCTTTCTCCTCCTTCTTTCTCTTCCTTCTCTCTTCTTCCTTCTCCTACTTCTGTCCTCCTTCTCCTTCTCTCTTCCTTTCTTCTCCTTCTTTCTTACTTTTCCTTCCTTCTCCTTCCTTTTTTCCTCGTTCTTTCTTTCTCTTCCTTCTCCTTCCTTCTCTCTTCTTCCTTTTTTCCTCCTCCCTCTCTCCTCCTTCCTCCTCCTCCTCCTCCAGTGCATGAACTCAGTGTTTGCGACCGTCCTGGACCTCACCTACCCCATCACGTCCATGTTTTCGGGCTCAGCCTTCAATGACAGCATCAACAAGGTTTTCCAGGACAAGCAGATCGAGGTGGGTCACCCACCCGTGGGGAGGGTTCTGACCAGCCCCACAGTGTCCCCACGGTGTCACCCACCCCGTCTTGTCCCCACAGGACCTGTGGCTGCCCTACTTCAACGTCACAACTGACATCACGGCCTCGGCCATGCGGGTGCACACGGATGGTGAGCACTCCATGGGGAGCTGGAGAAGTTCTGTGGTGCTACCACAGCCCCCTTTGTGGGGACCTTCCTCACCAGCACCCCAAAACATGTTGCTGCTCCATGGGGGAAGGTTTGCCATGTCCCATGGAGAAGACACATCCTGGTGTGGCCAGGAAAGGGCTTGGAGGGCTCATGGTGAGCCCAGGCGGTGGTGGCTTCCTATAGAATCAGCCAGGTTGGAAAAGGCCTTCAAGATCATCAAGTCCAACCTGGTCATCCCATGAGGCTCAGCTCCCAGTGGGGGTCTGTCTGTGTCTGGTGGGGCTGGGAGCAGAACTGAGGTGTGGAGCTTCACCCTGGCACCTCGAGCATGCGTGTGTCTCCTCTAACATAGGTGCTCACCACTAACCCCATAACCCACGCTCACAGCATGTGCAGCAAGGGCATGATCTGATGATGGTCAACGTCGTGGTGGGGATGATGTGGCAGTGGGGACATCGCGGTGGTGGTGGGGACATCGCAGTGGTGGTGGGGACATCGTGGTGGTGGTGGGACATGGTGGTGGCTGCCCCTCCTCCTTGCCTGGTGTTGGAGCTCACCTGGGACATTGAGCCATCCACGAAGCTGCCCGTGGTGGCTTCCCAAGCAGCCTGGCTCTTGCTCTGCCTGTTCCTCTGGCTTCTAATGCCAACTAATCCCTGCTCACCACCCCTAACCAGCACCTCCCATCCTTCACCCATCCTGGCTGGCTTGGTTCTGGGGCTCCAAACCTCCTCGGTCACCTACTGCTGGGGCCTCCATGGCCATGACCATGTCCTCTC